CCCGAGAAAACCATAATTCAAAAAGAGTCATATACCACAATGTTCACTGCAGCACTATTTACAATAGCCAGGACACGGAAGCAACCTAAGTGTCCATCAACAGATGAATGGATAAAGAAGATGTGGCACATATATACAATGGAATATTACTCAGCCATAAAAAGAAATGAAATTGAGTTGTTTGTAGTGAGGTGGATGGACCTAGAGCCTGTCATACAGAGTGAAGTAAGTCAGAAAGAGAAAAACAAATACTGTATGCTAACACATATATATGGAATCTTAAAAAAAAAAAGGTTCTGAAGAACCTAGGGGCAGGACAGGAATAAAGATGCAGATGTAAAGAATGGACTTGAGGACACGGGGAGGGGGAAGGGTAAACTGGGACGAAGTGAGAGAGTGGCATTGACATATATACACTACCAAACATGAAACAGATAGCTAGTGGGAAGCAGCCGCATAGCACAGGGAGATCAGCTCGGTGCTTTGTGTCCACCTAGAGGGCTGGGATAGGGAGGGTGAGAAGGAGATGCAAGAGGCAGGAGATATGGGGATATATGTATATGTATAGCTGACTCCCTTTGTTATAAAGCAGAAACTAACACACCACTGTAAAGCATTATACTCCAATAAAGATGTTAAAAAAAAAAAAGAATAAAGCATTTGATGGCCTTCAGTCACTCATTGCTACGTACTGTATATACCTACTGACCAAAGCCAGAAACCTGGACTCTACTTTCTTCTCCACACTCTATGATCACAATTAAGTTATCAAGCCCTGTTGATTTGTGCTTCTGAATATTTTATTAATCCTTTCCTCTCCTTCCATATTGCCTCCTTATTTCTTGCCTACATTACTGCAGTAACCTAGGAAGTGGCTTCCTTGCTCTAGATTTACCCCACTGTAACCCATTCTCTCCACTGCCACCAGAGTACTAGTTCTAAAATGCAAATATAATCACATTAGTTCTCAGGATGAGCTACATTAGCAGCTCCCTATCACCTATGGGCAACAAAGACTGAACTTTCTTTGCTATGTTTAGAAGACACTCCACAATATGTCTAGTTATCTTCACTAGTTTCATTCCTACTCCTCCACACTGTGTATCCAGCCAAATTGCAACCACGTTGCAACTCCAAGTGTGCTCTGCCCTTACATGTCTGTCCTTCTGCTTCAACATCCCTCCTCACCACCTCCCCCTCTCCCAAAGATTTCTGCTTGTCATATTTCAACTCATCCTTTAAGGTGACAGGCACTCAAAGGATTCCTCCTTTATGAAGGCTGCCTTGATATTCTCTCCCTACCATCCCCAAATGACAAGATTATTCCCTCTTTTTTTTTTTTTTTAATTTTTTTTGGCCACACCGCTCAGCATGCAGGATCTTAGTTCCCCAACCAGGGATTGAAACCGCGCCCCTTGCAGTGGAAGTGCAGAGTCTTTAACTGCTGGACTGCCAGGGAAGTCCCAAGATTATTCTCTTATTAGTGGAGAACTTTTAGGGCTTAACCCAGTGGATTGCATTTATTTGCTGACACGTCTGGATTCTCTCTAGTCTGTGATCTTATTCACCCTTGCCCCCTTCTGTGCAGAGCGCAGCGCCTGGTTCACTATGCACTTAAGATGCCTGAATAAGCAAGTGTACAAGGGTGGCTGCCACCTTCTCAGAATCTAAGACCAGAGCACATTGCTTTTGAATATGTGTTGAGTAACATGAATATGTAAACTGAAACAAACAAAAAGCTCATTATAGCTATTTCATCATGTAAAAGGGTAGGGTGTTGGACTAGACGATTAAGGCCTTTTGCAATTCTAAAATTCTAGGAGTCTGTGTATTCTATTGTCTACTTTACCTTTTAAAGTAGGAAGACTACAGAGCTAAAGAGGGACAGTCACTATCAGAAAATGATTCAATGGATTACAATCATTTTCAAAATAGAAAGTCAAAGATAACCAAAAACCAAAACAAGATAAAAAGCTCTATATTAACTTCAACTTGTAAGAACAACGATTCTGACCCAAGTCAAACAATGATGTAAAACTGCGAGAGAGAGGCTTTATTTGGTATCTTAACTTTTCAGTTAATGAAAGTCCTCACTTAAATTACAATGCATTTCAAAGGAGACTGCCTGTTAAATAAATGCATCTGCCTAAAGTATACAGTCATGGAAGTTGAAACATGGACCACAAATGAAATTACTTTGTCAAGGCCATAAAATAATTCAAACAAATTCCAAAACAGAACCTTTGATCTGAAATCCAGTTTTATGTTCCGATCTCCTGATAACAGCCCAGACCCAGCTTTGTAAATTCTTAACTCTGTTCTCCTCTTTTCGTATTTGTTCATTACAAGTAAAATTCAGTGAAATTTATCCATTACTTTTAAACAGAATTCATAAAAGGCCTCTGCTATATTACTCAAGAGTTCTACTAAAAAGCAAAAAACTGAACAACCAGATCCGCCTGAGAAACACCTCCTTATCATTAAATTATCCTCAAAATGAGGTGACACATGATTAACTTCTAAAAAACAATATTCTCTTAGGTTTTCGCCTCTCTTTGTGAGTGTATATATCAGATGAGCTATTTTACAAAGAAAATTTGGGCGTAAAAAAGGCAGGGAAGTCAATATTTAGGAGGAGTGAACAGTGGTGAATATTCTAACCACAATGAAGCAGAATGAATAGATCTCATTTTTAAACAATCATTTATTAAGCACTGAAAGTAAAGACCAAAAAATATAATACTAAAAACCTGGAGAAAAAAAAAAAATTAGCGTGGCTATTCATCCCCACCCCAAACATGTTCCATCAACATCAGTCAGATTCTGGGGACTTCCCTGGTGGTCCAGTGGCTAAGACTCTGTGCTCCCAATGCAGGGGGCCCGGGTTCAATTCCTGGTCAGGGAACTAGATCCTGCATGCTGCAACTAGGAGCCTACATGCTGCAACAAAAGATCCCGCAGGCTGCAACTAAAGATCCCGCAGGGTGCAACTAAAAGATCCACGCACCACAACTAAAGTTCCCGCATGCCTCAACTAAAGATCCCACGTGCTGCAACTAAGACCAGGCGCAGCCAAATAAATAAATAAATATTTAAAAACAAACAAACAAACAAAATCATTCAGATTCTGGGACTTACACCAAGTTATTAGCAGAGACAGATTTTGGTTAAAAACCTCACTTCAGGAGGTTCCAAGGCAAGTTACTTAACCTGTCTTTAAAACTCCTTTTCTTCATGTGAAAAGGAGAAAAACAGTACATATGTTAGATCTATATCCTAGGATGATTTTGAAGATTCAATGTAATAACCTGCACATAGATAAGCACAGACACACAGGTGTGGTGCAGGGGTAATTTTCTTCCTTTAATGGTGGTACTTTTATCTTTCCAGGAATAACTTTCTGAACATCAGCTTGCTTTTCCTTCACAAAGTTAAGACAAGGGCACAGCAGCACATGTTCTTTCTTTTCTCCTCCTACTAAGACTGAGTCTGGCACTTTCATGAGGGAATGTTACTGGCATCTAGACATATGTCAGTAATATGCCCATTATATGTCCATGGAATATGGTGCCTGTTATGGTTTGAATTATGTCCCTCCAAAATAAATGTTCAAGTCTTAACCCCCAGGACCTCAGAATGTGACCTTATTTGGAAACAGGGCTGTTTCAGATGTAATCAGTAAGTTAAAATGAGGTCATATTGTACTATGGTGGGCACCTAATCTAATCTGATTGTTGTCCTTATAAGAAGAGGAGACACAGACACATACAGATGAAGGGAGCACACCACGTGACGATGGAGGCAGAGGCTGAAGTGCTGTGGCTATAAGCCAAGGAACTCCAAGGATTGCCGGCAAACTACAAGGAAGAGGAAAGAAAAGTTTCTCCCTTACAGGTTTCAGAGAGAGCATGGCCTTGCCGACATGTTGATTTTGGAATTCTGATCTCCAGAACTGTTAAACAATAAATTTCTGTTTTCAAGCCACTGGGTTTGTGGTAGTTTGTGACGACTTCCCTAGGAAACTAATACAACCTACCACAAACACAATTATAGAAGTATATTATACATGTTTTTTTTTTTTAATTTATTTATTTTATTTATTTTTGCCTGCATTAGGTCTTCATTGTTGTCCAAGGGCTTTCTCTAGTTGCAGCGAGCGGGGGCTACTCTTGGTTGTGGTGTGCAGGCTTCTCATTGCAGTGGCTTCTCTTATTGCGGAGCACGGGCTCTAGGGTGCATGGGCTTCAGCAGTTGTGGCACGCAGGCTCAGTAGTTGTGGCTCGTGGGCTCTAGAGTGCAGGCTCAGTAGTTGTGGCGCACGGGCTTAGTTGCTCTGCAGCATGTGGGATCTTCCTGGACCAGGGCTCAAACCCGTGTCCCCTGCATTGGCAGGCAGATTCTTAACCACTGCGCCACCAGGGAAGCCCTATACATGTTTAATGTGCATAAACTTTCTTGACTTACGAAGTGTTTTGGCAACTATTATCCTGTTCGAGCCTCAGAACAACATTACCGTCCCATTGTATAAACTGAGAAATTGAAAATCAAAGAAGTTACAAAAGAAGGTCTCTTCCTATGCTTCTACACCAAAGACTTCTTCTTTTAGAAACTGCTATCACCTTCTTGCCTTGAGTTATTAGTTGGCTAAAGCCACATTTGTGGCCCATCCTGGGCTGATGTACATAGGACTACATGATATGCATGACTCTGTACTAATCTTCCACTTAGCACTATCATTTTCCCTTTATCAGGATTTTTAATTTTCTTTAACACCTTTATTGAGATACAATTTGCATTCCACACAATATATCTTTGCACTTCTAAAACGTATAATTCAATGGTTTTTAATATATTCAGGGTTGTGCAACCATCACTGCAATTTAACTTCAGAACATTTAGAACAGAGATTTTATGCCTATCATGTTAATAAATATTACTTCTGAGTGTCCTGAGAGGCCAACAAACGCAAAAGTAGAAATATTTAAATACCAACAACATACTTGTTTATCTTCCAGCAGGTCAGGCTCCCCTTTACTAGAAGCAGAGCTGACATTGTCTTCATCAGAACTGTTGATGACTTCCTCTTCATCTGAAGGAAGGTCACTAAGATGAAGGTCCAGATCATTGGGTCCCTCCTGGGATGCTCCAGAACTGCTGCAATACAGAGCATCTCATTAGTCACCTTTGAGAACAAGGAATGCTACCAAAAACAAACTGTGTGGTGTAAGCAAGGCACATCTAAGGGATTTGGAGGGATAAAAAGAGTCAGATCAACAAAACTCTCCCTTCCCTTTCCCTATCTCAGTTGTCCAAAACCCAAATTACTTTTGGGTTTAAAATGGATCATCTTGAAAAACATCCATTTTTACAAGAAACTAGTGAATGTAACATAAAAGAAGCAGACTCACAGATACAGAGAACAAACTAGTGGTTACTAGTGGCAGGGGGCAGGTACAATATATTGGGTGTTAAATAGACTCAAATGTATTATACAACATGCGGAATATAGCCAAATGTTTTGTAGTAACTGTAGATGGAAAGTGACCTTTAAAAATTATATAAATTTTAAAAATTAAAAAAAACCAACATGTATTTCTGTGATAGGAAGGTGGGTAAGGAGCAAGTTTCCCAGCTGCCCCCATCCTATCCCTTAACTCTAGACAATCAGGTCTCTACCAGCACAAACCAAAAAGCCTCACAGGAGGTGAGCTGGGTTACCAACCATGTTCATGTTCCAACATTAGAAGAGGTGCTGCTTCTTTGGGCCTCAGTGGTTTGCTTTTGTTTTTTTTTTTAAAGCAAGTAACAAATCTACAAGGACTGGGAGGTAATGATGATGATCATAATGTACTATTGTGGACATGTGCCCATGCCCATCTCTCTGGTTATCACCAATTGCCTTTCATGTAACCACATCACAAGACATGGGAAGGAATGAGGATGGGCACAAATTCTCCAGTTTACTCCAGACCTGCTAAATCAGAAACCCTAGAGGTGCAGGACCCCTAAGTGATACAGGCTAAAGTTTGAAAACCCCTGTACCAGGCCATTTACCAACTGCTTCTCGCCAGCCTGTCATCAACAACATTTCTCAGATCTAACATTTTTTAGATCTCTTGAATCTAAAAGCCACTGTTGCAGTCCAATCTGTGGGGGGAAATTCCATAGGAAAGTTCCCAAGAAAGGCAACAGAAATAATTCTTTCTAGCTTTAGTTGTAAAGAGTCAGGAACAAATTGTCTGTAGCAACTGCTTTCCTGTCTGCAGTCAACAAGAATACCTGCAGAGGACTTCCCTGGTGGCGCCGTGGTTAATAATCCACCTGCCAATGCAGGGGACACAGGTTTGAGCCCTGGGCCGGGAAGATCCCACATGCTGTGGAGCAGCGAAGCCCATGTGCCACAACTACTGAGCCTGCGTTGTACAGCCCGTGAGCCACAACTACTGAGCCCACGTGCCACAACTGCTGAAGCCCACGTGCCTAGAGCCCGTGCTCCACGACAATGAGAAGCCCGCGCACTGCAACGAATAGTATCCCCCGCTTGTCGAAACTAGAGAAAGCCCGTTTGCAGCAACAAAGACCCAATGCAGCCAAAAATAAATAAAGAAAGAATACCTGCAGAATAGAAGAGTCAGGAAAAGATCCACAGAAAATCGTCAGGGGAAATACTCAGGCAGAATAAAGAGACAGTTGCATTTCACTCTAGCAGGTTCCTTTCTCAGGTCATGGGCAGGTCACTCAACTGCCAAGCTTCCTACAAGTTATGAGAATTTCTACTGGGAATCTTAAAAGCTGAAGATAAATTTTCTTCCAGTTCCTGATTACACATTGTAGGATACAGACTTGCCTCAGAAGCCATTCCGGGAGCCTGACAGTTACACAAACTAGTTGGATGGAGGCAGAATGCCAAAAGGAACACTTCCTTCTGGTAAAGATGGGGTTTCCTATTACTCAGTGGCTGGGGGCCTCAGGGAATCATATCACAGCCTCAATTAGGTGGGTGCATATCTTATCATAGCTCCCCATGACATGGAGAAGACTCACCCCTGGGGTGGGGTGGGGGGGTGGAGAACAGAAGCTTTCTAGTCAAATCACTGGCAAGATTCGCTTGTCTCTGGGTTCAGGGATAGGAGCCCAACCCAGCTGGGAAATTAGTTGATTTAGATGACTGACAGTAAGTGAGAGTTAGGATGTACAGACTGCAGGATCCATCCATATAAACAGAAGAAAATATACCTTCAACCTGTTTTCATCTTAATTCTTTACCTCTTCAACTCTAAAGAGATACTCTGAAACTCTGCTACTCAAAACATATTCAATCTATTAGCAGCTTCAGCATCACCAGGAAGCTTTTTAGAAAAATAAAACCTCAGTCCCTGTCCCACCCCACTGAATCAGAATCTGGTTGTAACAAAACGCCAGTAATTCGATTTTTTGGATCAGCCCATCTGTGAGCTCTTTTGGACTCAACAGTGTAAAAATTTCGAATAATCAGTAATAGGGCTGTCGCACCTGTGAGGAAATGTAGGTTTATTTTGTCTAAAGAGCGCTGAGAGGTGTTTCCTGGATCAACATTCGGAGAGCTATTATTAAGAAGATAGTAACCAGTTAGTTGCCACATCCATTTAGGGATATAAATGTTTACAAAAGTTAACAGTTAAGAACGAGGGGACAAATAAATAAATAAGCTTTAAATATTAAAAACATGGATCAAAACATACCGCCATAAAACTTTGGGAGATTTTAGTTCTGAAAATCGCTTACCTACAGAAAACCTTCCCTGACTGCCCCCTCCCTATCACAAATTAGTTTACCTGGCTTTTCTCAATCCTACGTGATCTTACTCAGTGGTATATTTGTTTCTCTCATGAAAATGTAAACTCCCAAGGACAAGGAAATTCTCTTTTTCAGTTGAATCCCCAGCATACTACTTGATATGTAATAGGCACACAACAAATTTTTACTGAATGAACAAAATGATATTAGAAACCAATGTGTATTATATTTCAGAACTTCCAATAGTATATATGGTAGTGGTGATCACAAAGAAGGGTTTGGGGGGGAATAATGGAAAAACTGTATGGTTTAAAGGAGAAGGGACATCTGGACATCATAATCAATGGTGTAGAAGTGGGAATGTTGGTATTCACAAAACAAAACAAAACATTTTGGCTACAAGCGGAATCTCCTGTAAGTAATTAATGGAAAACAAGCTTGGAGAAGACGACAGGTGCCAGGCTGTCAAGGAGCATGAACAATAGCTAAGGAGTTTATACTCATCTTGTAGGCCTTCAACAAGGAGACTCCAATCTTCCAGTAGACCTCAAAGATTTCCTTACTATACCTCCAAGCTTGTCACTACCATACTTCTTTCTTGTTAGTGCCAACAGAGATGAGAAGGGCACCTCCTCGGTCAGTCAAGCTTTGTAAGCACAGCACCTTCCACCCCACCCCCCACCAACCAGAGGAAAGGATATCCTTGTTTATTAGCATCAGTGAGATCACCTTGATGATCTCACAGCTTAAGTGGAAGCTAAAGGAGCTCCCCACATACCTGAATGGTAAACAGTAGAAACCAATTATGATTTCTCAAGCTTAGGAGGGAGGAAAGTGAGTACAGCAAAATGCGGTTTTAAGAGTATTAATCTTATAACCCAAAACCAATGAACTACGGGTGAAATGGAGGTAGGCACAGTGACAGAAGTGGAGGAAGATCTAGGAGTTAATTTCAATAGTGCAGGCAGCCTGCGCCAGGGTGGCTACATCAGGAATTGAGAGGAAGGGTTGTATGTAAGAAGAAGAAAAATCACCAGAGCTAGGGTAAAGAGGAGGGGGAGAAACTCGAGTCTTCCTTCGAGGTTTCGTGAACAGTCACCAGCAAAATGAGGGTGACATCAATCGAAACAGAAATATGTCAACAAAGGATCTGATTTTAAAGGAAAGATAATGGGGTCAGCAACAAAATCAGGAAAGACAGTACCTAGTATCCACATACATGTTCACCTCTAAATAATTAAACAGAAAAAACCTGTTGATTAATCTATTTTCCCATATAACCGTGAACCGCTTTCTAAGCCATCTAATAATTTTAGATTCCTGATAATGAAACATGGATTCTTTACCTATGCCGCTCCTCCGTTCCTTACACTTCCTTCCCACTGTCAGAAGATAAATCCTAATACAGTCTACTTTTAGGGTTAAAGGAACAGGACATAGTGTTTCCTGCACACTTTCCTGCCTAGTTATTACATAATTTGATAAATGAAGTAGAGGACAGTAACCTGCAACAACAACCAGAAAGAGCCAAAACCGGGTTCTCCTTCCCCAGCCGATCCTTTCCAAGTCAGATTTGCTTCTAACAGGGAAGAAGCCTGGTTTCCAGAAAATACTATTTTTTCCAAGTACACGGGGATAAAAACAGAGACAAGTAAAGCCAGAAGTAAATTTCTACTCATTAGGCAACTGTTCCTTCAATTCCACATGCCAAGGATCCTTGCATTTGGAGTGATGATTATTTACTGCCATCACTTTTAAAAAAAATTACTTATGTTATTTTCTTTTTCAAAAGATTTAGTTTTATTTATTTTTGGCTGCATTGGGTCTTCCCTGCTGCGCACGGGCTTTCTCTAGTTGCAGTGAGAGGGGGCTACTCATCGTTGCGGTGCACGGGCCTCTCATCGCGGTGGCTTCTCTTGTTGCAGAGCGCGGGTTCTAGGCGCACGGGCTTTAGTACTTGCGGCACATGGGCTCAGTAGTTGTGGCATGCAGGCTCAGCTGCTCTGTGGCATGTGGGATATTCCCAGACCAGGGATCAAACCAATGTCCCCCGCACTGCCAGGCCGATTCCCAACCACTGCGCCACCAGGGAAGTCCCAAAAATTACTTATGTTATTTTCTATATATAAACAGCACATCTTACACTGGAAGTACATCAATTTCTATTTCAGGTAAGATGTCACATCAAGGATGATCTCATTTTCAAAAGAAACTGTCTTTTAAAAAATAATCCATTTCCTCGAAGAGTTTTTAGGAACATAAAACCTGCACAGTGCCAAGCCAGGCATAAAAGTTGCCAGGTTCAACTTGTGAAACTCTATTAAATTAAAGAGTCCAGCAAGGGGAGGAAAGAGGCCAAGGATGGCACAAAAAGGAAA